CCCCAAAACCCCAAAACCCCAAAACCCCTGGGTTTGTTTATGAAATTGAGATTTATCGAAATGTATTAAAAGATTCATTCCCAATTATCTTAGCTTGAGTATAAAAATCATCTAACTTCCTCAATCTATCCCTTCCTATCGAATCCAAACCCCTATCAGAACACCCCTTCGAGCCAATTACCAGCCCTGGGAGCAAGAGCCGAGGTCACACTTCCCTCTCGCACAATAAAATTATTCTGTAAACTATTGGCCTCCCAAATTAGTCGGTGGTTTGTTTACGAATCAACTGAGAAAAATTACAAGAAAGAAGTACAAAGGCTCATAGCGACAGCCAAAGTGGCCAGAGCTGGCATACTTCCTCTTGACTTTAATGAAAGGTTCTTTCAGTTTCCTAAAGTGGTAGCTAAGTCACTGATTTCGCTACCGAAGGAGACGCTGTATGCATAGTTGAATTTTCCAAAGCATCTGACATACCAAGTCTCTGTTTGGTTTGGGAAGTAGACATCATATGTAAGTTGGGATGGAGTCAGTCCATACCAGTAGTGGTAAACAGTTTTGGTAGTGGGGTTATTGCAGTTGGATCCAGCAGGAGATAAGATTGAGGATAATGAAGATTGAGCAGACACCACCTGAGATGTTGTTAGTCCCCAATGAGCCCCAGCATAGAAATTAACTGAGTTGTACACTGCATCCAAAGATGTACAAGTTGAATGTCATTGCCATTCAATTCCAAATCCCCTCAAAGTAATGGCTGAAGAGGTGAGTTGATAGTTTGTAGTACCCACATTGACACAGGCTCCAGAAGCATAGTACCCTCCAGTCAATGGAGCAGTTGTAGAGCCAACAGTCAGCCCCAAGATCACATCAGTATTGCTGCTATTGGCCGAATTCTTCAAAAAGGTGATTGAGAACTTATAGGCTCCATTTTCAGCAAGAGTTGTAGCTGCAATAGTGACAGTAACAGCCATGGCAAGGGTAATGAGAGTTTTCATTAAATGAATAATTATAAGATCTCAAGGATCGCATCCTTATAAGGGGTTTTGGGGTTTTGGGGTTTTGGGGTTTTGGGG